TGCACCTGTCCCAACCTAACGTGCAAGATCACAAATGAGTCTGGAATAAGCATAAGTGGATGCGGGCATCTCTTTCCCTTTTCCTTGCTCCCAACCCTATCCCTCCTAGCAGAGGGCCGTGCACATATGTATGGAGACCTCAGTCCTCATGCAAAGTCCCATGTACTTTCCCAGACAGCTGTCTTTTGGTCACCTTTTGAGGCTGATCTTACATGAAACTGAGAAGACCTGGGAGTGAGTTTGGGGCCAGTGGGTCATGAAATTATAGGGTTCAGAGATCTGGTCCCTCGTCAGAAGGGAGAATCAGGGGCAGGTGGGCACAGGAGAAGGAGGAGGACACAGTCTGACGAGAGCCAGTACCAGGCTCAAGACAGGTCCCCAGTGGCCAGTTCAGAGACATAGAAAGTCTACCCAGAGGCCGAGCCTCTTTAGTTTTCTATGAGAGGCTGATTTCCAGCTTTCCAGAAAATCTACCTCTCTTCAAGCTGTTTGCTGTCTTCTTGGCCTGTAGGCAGTAACTCAAGAAGGGCATATGGGCAGGGCCTTATCTGGAGGCAGAAACCATAGGCACTAGGCTTGGACATATTTACACAGGGGATGTAAATTCAACAAACCAATCTCCACTGCACACACACGGCTTTCTCAGCAATTTCCAACTTGTTTGCACCAACCTGAATGTAAACCTGAAGCTCTCTCCACTGGCAGCAATTACTGGAGCAGAATCTGGGCTTGGTGGCCGAGGTTTAGTGGGGTCAGACTGAAAGCATGAAAGCTTCCATCACACGTCCTGAAATCTAGTTTCCATAGTACTGGATTTTAGGGCATCCTCTTGCTTGAATGGAAAAAAAAAAGAAAAAAAAGAAATGCTCACCTTTAAGATCCACTGATGTGCCAGAGGGGACAGGATAGGGACTGTGGAATCAGGGAGTTCAAGCTCAGGTATCCATTCTTCTTGTAGGAAGTGCCCCTCAGCTGACCCTGTGCTATGCGCTGGAGTTGCCGGGTAAACAGAATCAGTCCCTGGGAGACTGGGACAGCTGACAGATGCATTAACAAACAATTCCTGGGCATTGTGACAAATGCCAAGTGGGACAGAAAATGCTGCATAGTATCCTGGAGCCCACAGAATGGGGACACGTCTGTGTGGACCTGGGTAAATTATGTCCCTTCACTCAGTCTCAGTTTTCTATGCCATAGAGAGTTGTTTCTCACAAGCAAGTAAGAGTCAGTGCCTAGCCCAGCACTGCTGCCTAACAAATAGGCCTTACTTTTCCTTTTCCTTGAATAGGAATTTTCTAATTTACATACTTCCATTACATGTCTCTTACCTACAGTTCTACCAGAGTCCTTCTTGCCTTTTGCATTTGAACTGAGATTTCCTTGAGCCTCTTAATTTCCATATCCTGGAGAACCCCTAAAATCATTCTCAAAGATCTCTGTATCACAGGTATGTTTGGAGTCCCCTTTGCCTGGTGCCTCCCTGTGCTGTCATGTGGCATCTTATGTGGCCCAATGGGGTACAGATCTCAATCCTTTCTGGAATCTACAGGAGATCCAGTCCTAGCAGACATCTTCCCAGTATCTTGAGGACCTTCTTGAAAGTCTAGCAGTCACATGGGGAATGGTCACTTAATGCTCCCCTGACACCCTGTCATTTGTCACCCCTGTACCTCTCCTGCTCCATCAAAGCCCCCAAAGAATGCATGCTCTTCCATCTCTGGAGGTTCAGCCTGCACGAGACAGAGGCCCTGGGAATACAGCATCTGTCTCCAACAAACTTCCCAAAGCATTTCCCCAAGAAAGGCAATTCTGTCTAAGAGGAATTTCCTTTAGAGAAAGGCAATTTTCTCTCTCTTTACAGTTCATTTTATGCTCATTAACAGCCCTCTGAGATTAGTGTAATAATTTCCACTTTATAGATGAGGAGATGGAGGCTCAGAGATGAAGTGCCCTTGCCCAAGGTCACTCAGCTGCTAAGTGCCAGAGTCTGGCTTCGAGCCCTGCTCTGACAGTCCATCACGCCTGTTGCTGAGAGGGCAAGAGGATTTTCCTGTGTCCCCTCCTTCCCGCTCTGGAAAGAGTCTCTTCACTGTGTGGCAGGCTTAAAACCCTCTTAGTGTCTTTGAAAAGGTGGCCCTGGAATGCTTTTACCTCTAAGAGGAGTAAAAAGGTGTTTTTGTGGTCACTGCACAAGCAAGCTGCAGGGAGATTGGAAACCAGGGCGGAAGACAGGCCAGCGGTCAGCTTAGCACTAGATGTGTTTGAATTATAGCCTCGTCCCCTCCAGCAGGCCCCAGGCTCCTGAGGGTCCAGCAATTTCTGCCTTTTGGCTTTCCCACAGCATTCTCCCAGGTCTCCCCAGACTCCTGATGGCAACATGCCTCACATTTCTGTCCCTGCCCGTCTCAGCCTCCAGTGTTGTCACTGTTCAGAGAAAACAAAGGCTTTACATTTTCCGACTCCAGCTCTCAGCCCGGCACTATGTGGCTTTAGGACATATTTCATCTCACAGAACTTGGTTTTCCTTTAGGGCCTGTGAAGCCTTCCTCATGACTCCTTATGACACTGGCAAGACTCAGCACATGTGTGTTCATCTGATACTTACCAAGGCCCTTTTTGCCTTGTGCAGCAGGCACCAGGTGAGACAGACACAAGTTCAAAACCCCACTTTGCCACTTACTAGCCTTTCTAGTGTGTGCATGTTCCTGGTCCTCTCTGGTCCTCAATTTACTCATCTGTCAAATGGGTTGGCAGTTCCTAACAAAGTCCTATGATGATCCGAGACAAAGAACCCAGCACCTGGGGCTGCTGCTCCATCCATGGTGTTTGTTCTTATTGTCTAGTTTGTGTTTTGAGGCTGCACTGGAGAGCTCAAAAATCACTCTTAATATGGGATATGGTACTTTCAAGATACTTAACAAATTGTGAGGGTAGCTTTGAGCTTCAGTGAGTCTTAAATGCCCCTGTTTTCCATCCCTCACAGGGGAGGAGAGAGCTCTGTGAGGGTGGCTATCTTGGCTTGGCAGTGGTCTAGAAGGTGCTCCCAATGAGGAGTGTTAAGGTCCCCAGTAGGAGTGGGCAGCCTGGAACTTTCTGGCATCTGGGTTAGTGCAAAGACTCTAGTTGGGCAAGGATGGAGGGATGTTCCAGATTTCTCTGGCAAGTGGCCTTTGCTGTACGTAAGCTTATTCATCTGTACTCACTGCAGCCTGGGCCACTGAGAGGCATTTAACCAAGCAACAGCTGCCAGGCCTGGTTGTGACCATCAACAACGGGGACAGTACTTTTCACCTCTTATTCCACATGGGTTCAGCACAGTGGGCTCTCAGCTCATCCAATGTCACATTCTCAAAGTCACCCATTTGCTTCTGGGATGCTGACTCTCCCTTCCACAAAGGACATGTGAGCATGAACAACTGGGCTATAGGAGTGACCATGGATTCTTCAGTTGATCAGGGGCCAGGGCTGGCCATCTTCCCTAGGAGCCTCCTACCAGCAGCCACTCGGGGCTGGCTTGCCAGGTTCTCTGACATTTCTGTGAAGCGTGTTCTGTGATAAGGCTCTAACACAAGTTGCATGATCCCTATTGGGAGAGATGAGGGACTTAGTTGGCCCCAAGAACCTTCAACCCAACCCCTTATTGCTTCATGGGTATCAGGACAGCCATTTCCAAATGCTCTGAGGGGACTGCAGAAGTAGTGTCATCCTAGTCTATCATTTTGCATAATGGTCCCACCCAGAACTGCCATTTATTAGACACGCCAGGTGGATGCATATGCATGTGAAGCACTGTGATTATTTTTATTACTACTCTGATTACTGGAAAACAAACCATCAAGCAAACAACAAACCCCAGCCATCCTATATGGAGGACTTATTAAGTTCCAGGTGCAACTCTAACTGCTTCACAGATATCTCATTTGACTCCTCCTTCCCCTGCAATGCGGTTGGCTGCTATTATTATCACTATTTTACAAGTGAAATCAGAAGTGGACCCAAAAGAGGTGACAAAACTTGGCAAAGTCCTGTAGGTAACGTGGGGAGAAATACTGGTTTAATGTCTAGTCTGTGCTTTGCTATTCCCAGCTGAGAGACCTTGACACTTGGGGAGGTGCCTGGCAACCTAGAAACTGTGTCTCCACTATCCCAAATGCCTGAACTCTAACATAGAATGATCTGGAAATGTGGAATTTCTTTTAAATCTTGTCTGTTAGTATCTGTTTTGTACAAAAACGTCTATTTAACTTCTATAAGGTATACATATTAGATTAGGTTATTCACGATAAAATAAAACACAGTCAATGTCCTCTATGGGGTTCTGGGACCAAGATCGGTGAGGAGGAATGGATGGAAGATACTGTTGGGGTAAGAAGGATCAGAGTTGTTGTAGGGTGCTGGGAAATGATGCTTTGTGTTATGAAGGGAGGACGGTGAGTAAATGGAGCTTCAAAGGTAGAGTCCATGGGGCCTAGTGACCATGTGGATGGACTGATATTGCATGTTAAAGATGTGACTCGCTTTTCAGCTTGTTGATCTGGATGCTATTAACAGAAAAGGGGAAGAGACCACCAGAAGGAGAGGATGTGGCTGAATGAAATATGAGGATGCAAGGGAGAGCCCTAGCAGCCACCTAGATCAGTGTGTCCCAGAAGCGCTGTGTGTGCTGTTGGTAGCACCCAAGATGCATTTCAGTGGCTCCCCTGATGGACCCTTAAGAATTAAACAATTTTGTAGTTAACGATTTACTTACGGCATGTGATATATGATAAGCCTTCACTTCTTATATTTATGTTTTCTCTTACATGCATTTAAATAAGAAAAAGGAAATTGATTTAAGGAAAAATGTGATGTAAATTATGCTGCATGTGGGCAAAAACCACGAAGGCAGTGATTGAGCTGTTACAATACGTCGGGAAGGGAATTCTCAGCTGCTTTAGCAGAACAGCCACTTGTCTTCCTGACAGCCTCCAGAGACCTTATGCCTTTCCGATCTCTTGCAGATCCCGTGCATGGCCCGCAGAACGTGGAGATAGTGGACATCCGGGCCCGGCAGCTGACCCTGCAGTGGGAGCCCTTTGGCTATGCAGTGACCCGCTGCCACAGCTACAACCTCACGGTGCAGTACCAGTACGTGTTCAACCAGCAGCAGTACGAAGCCGAGGAGGTCATCCAGACCTCCTCCCACTACACCCTGCGGGGCCTGCGTCCCTTCATGACCATCCGGCTGCGGCTCCTGCTGTCCAACCCAGAGGGCCGGATGGAGAGCGAGGAGCTGGTGGTGCAGACGGAGGAGGACGGTGAGCAGGCGAGGCCAGCCTCCTGGCAATGGGGGGTGTGGGTTGGACCCACTCACTGACTGCCACCCTGTCAGTGATGAGGTTTTCATTTTTTCCTGCATCTTTGATCTGTTCCCCAAGATCTTCCATGAAAGACCACACAGGTCGTGCATTGCACAACTCAGGTTGCTGTTCTCATGCACGACAGCAGCTCTGCCACACATGTGCTCTCAAGGTTGACCCTTCTGTGTCCCCATTCCTCTTCTCCTCCGTTTCTCCCACCTTCTCTGCCCAAGGTTCAGCTCCACCGACACCTCCTGTGAGACAGCATATATATCCTGTTGTTTCAACATGTTGAGATGGGAAGTCATGTGAATTCTCAGTTCTGTTCAAATTTAAAGAAGAAAATACATATAAAAACTTTAGCATGTACATTGCCCACAGAACTGATGATTCAATGGGTGCCCTACAGGCATCTCCAACCCAAAGTACTCAAAATTGAACCAGTTCCCTCTTCTGCACACTGACTTCTTTTCCTATGGTCCTTGTCTCCATGAACTGCATTTGGTGGCTTAAGATGGAGACCTCCATGTCAGTCCAGGAGGCTCCTTTCTTCAACCCCATTCCACCTCTCCAACTCTCAAGGTTCTAATGAGTCTGCTTCCTATATTTTATCTCCCAACATGCCTCCTAATCTGAGAGTCCTGGAATATGGAGACTCTTGTACTCCTAGAACAGACTTCCACCCTCTCTGTCCTCACCCATGCTGTTCCTTCTGCTCACACATTTGCAGGGTAAACTCCATTAATCTTTCAAGTCTTTGCTCAAATGCTTCCTCCAGGAAGTTTCCCTGGACTGCCCCAAACTTCTTTCCTAGGCTCCCACTGCAATTTGCATAGAACTTCAACACAGCACTTCTCTTATTGGTGGGATCAAATTTGCCAGTTCTAGGATTTGTCTAAGGAACATTGTCCATGGCTGAATTTCAGTTGTACCTCCAGCCAGGCTGGCTTTGGCTCTGTATTCAGTTGTTCAGAATCTGACTCTGAAATGCAAATTGTGTATAAGGAATTGATTATGGAAATTTCCTGGGGGAGACTGGGCAGGGGATAGGAAGGCAAGACAGGGAATGGGAGGAGCTTCTGGCCAAGTCCTGCAAAGGTTGGCTGCACCCTCAGCCTACAGGGGAGCTCTACAGGGCAGGCAATACATACCAGATATTCCAAGTCGAAAGGGAGCTAGAACTGGCTTCATTGTTTCAAAAACGAATCATCTTTTCCTCCAGCAGGTAGAATAACACCATAGCATTATAGTAGGTTATTGTGCACATTAAAAGGGATGGTATACAAAGAAATTAGACCTAAACCCAGCAGATCTTATTTTCTCAATAAATGTAGCTACTGGGTTTGCACTAAGTCACAGGAAAAAAGTTTCTTGACCAAGGAGTCTGAAACATAAGTAACTCAGAAACTGCCCAGTTGCTCTGGGAAATCCTATCAGGATCAAGCCATCCCCTGGAAATGGTTGTAGAGTCTATTGCATAAACTCTCAAGGAGTAGTGGTGTACTGGGCATTAACTGAGATGCAAAGTGGGGTCAAGAGGGTGGCTTAGTGACTAGTGTTCACAGGGCATCCCCAGGGACAGAAAGGGAAGAGCAGCAGGTGCCTTGCTCACCCTGGACTATTCTTTGAGGATGATGGTGCACCTGCAAATCCCAAATCAATCCCAGTTTTAAGCTGTGCTTTAAACCCTTCCTTTCTAACTCTTGACACTAAGAGAAAAAATAAATAAACAAATCAACAAACCACAGAGCCTGTATCAAAACAATGCAAGAGCAGCAATGCTTTGAACTTAAATTTATATTAAACATCATTAATAAAACATCCATTCCTGCTCCAGGAGGTGTGTGGACGTTATCCTAATAAAGACAGCAGCTTACAAGACTCCAGGCCTCAGCCTGTAGCTCAGAAACTTCCAGCAGGAAGGTCTCAGCAGAGTGGGGCCACCCTCTCTATGCCACAATTAGACTCCATTCTTCCTAAAGAAGGAGGAGACATTTCCGTTTGCTGGGGCGCTCATTCACCTCCAGCAGGAGCTAAAGATGGAGCATGGCCCGGGCCATTAACTGAAGCTCCCCTCCGGGAGCCAGCGAGAGCAACCTCTCGGATTGAGCTGACTGGCTCCGTGCTGCTTTTTGTCCGTTTTTCCAAAATTGTCTTCTGGGGAATTTGTAGAATTTGTCATTTCAGCACCCCAGTGCCTTTGAAGACCTGAAAAGTAATCTACTGCTAGAGAGAGAAGCTCATGGCCCCAGAGCCCCATGGCGTCATCTGGAAGCAGCTGTTGGTAAAAGACTAAACAGATTCTTATTTTTTTTTCTCTTTTCCACAAATGTCTCAGACAAAACCACAGTTTCCTTATTTCATGGTTACTCTTCTATTATTAAACAGACTATGGTCAAGATTGTGAAATGGAATATAAGAGGCCTTAAAGGATGAAAACCATGTCGAAGGGGTCTCCATTCAGCCATTTTTTGGCTGCTATTTATTGAGCACTTATAATGTCCTAGGCACCAAGAAATAGGCTTGCTATATACAATGACTCCTGTGTGTATATGTATATGTGTGTGTATGTGTGAGATTTTGTTGTGAAATGGTTCAAAACTACTAGAAAAAAAAATGAAAGATTAGTACTAAAAAGACCTGAAAACCCTCTGCACAGATTCAACATATGTTAACATTTGCTACATTGACTATTTCATATAGGTGATAGGTTTGTATGATATGAAAATATGAAATACACACACACATATAATTTTTAGCTGTTTGAAAATAGATTACAGAAATCATGACACAACCCATTAACAGTTTAAAAATAAGAGCATTCTCCTACATAGCCACAATATCATATGACATATAAGAAATTTGGCATTAATTTAAAGATGATCAAATATATAGTCTATTTTCGTATTTCTAATATTATTTCTAATAACATTAAACCTGATTTTATATGAGAAAACCAGAGTGAAAAACATTTCTGGAAAAAAAATATTACATGGTTCGTGGTGCCTATTTCTCACTGTATCTTGGCAGGAGGTCCCCAGAGATAGGGAGCTCCTCTCTCAGTGATGTTACCTCTGGTCACTTAATTAACACAGGGTCCACCCGCCCCCTCCACTGCAAATGCAGTACTTTCTTCTCTTTGTAAAGTTGCTGTGCTGTGACAGAGATGGTATTAACACCCTATTCCCTCAAAACTGTCACTCAAGGGTTGTAGCACTCCTTAACTAAAGTAATCAAGTGTTACTTACATTGGTGCTCGCAAAAGGGTGGCTTTAAAATTCATCATTCACCTATGTTTTTATTAATTAGCTTTCTTCTTTATAGAAGAGTTTTTCTCTCATCTCCCTTCCTGTGTTTACTATCCTTATTGACTCATAGATCATATTTTGACTCAGTGTACAAGCATCCACCACCATCGTTACTCTTCTGGAGGCTCAGGCTGTCATGACGAAGGCCAGCAGGAGTCCCTTCAGGTGGGCTCCAGGTCCTTTTGACCTGCCCTCATTTGTCGTCCTTGCTTCTGGCATAGCACCATGTCCTCTTCTACCCTTGTGATGTCCCTGCCATGCACCTGAAGTCAACCACTTCTCTCAGGATTTCTGGATGCTTTCAGTGGTATTTTGGCCCTAAGATCTACATCTGACGTGAGCTCAACATAGTGATATTGCCTGGAGGTACTACCTCTCCAGGTAGAAAGAGCTAGGGAATAGAATTTGTTTTAAATCACGATCTTATCCTGATCCAACCCTGATGCCTCAGGATTCTTCTCCACCTTCTGCCCAGACATCCCCTTCTCCCACAGTGAAGATCCTGAATCTAGGGTTTTCATTTATTCCATCCTACGTATAAAGTAGTTTCAAAGTTACAGCAGCAATCCCGTGAACAAACAATAAAGCTAATTTGGGTTGAAGACCTCAATTTTTCTGTCTTCAGTGTTTTTAAGGCTATGTCCCACTGAAGATGGGCGGTCGAAATACAGTGCTCCAAAGTTCAGTGTTTATCTCCACATGCTTATAATCTCAACTTGGTACCCAATTAGATCCATTTGTTTCAATATTAAGGTTTTCCTTCCCCTCATCCTTTCTTACATTAAAATGTATTATTGTTGTTGTTTTTTTAAACAGGTGAACGGTTGCCTCTTTCAAAAGTCAAAACTCTTTAAAAAAGGGTCCATCTGAAAAGTACTGCCTCTGTCCTTATTTTTGTTGCATAGTTCCCACCCTGAAAGACAGCCATTTTCATTCATTTCTGGTTTATCTTTCCAGTAGTTCATTTTGCAAAAAGTACATGATATTTTCCTCTCCTCCTATTTTTCTGTAAGAGGTAAAGAATGGATACACTTGGCATCTTTTTTTGTTGTTGTTGTTGTTCACTTAGTATATTCTGGAAATCACTCCATGTCAGTTAGTACAAAATTCCCTCATTCCCTTTATAGCTCCAACGTACTTCATTGTGTGGATGAATATACCTAAGTGTCTGATGGACAATGAGGTTGTTTCAATTATTTGCTATCACAATACTGCAGCAAATAGCCTAGTGCCGGTGTTGTTTGCTATTTGTGAAGATGTATCCCACTGGAATCAAAGAGCTTATGCATTTAGATACCCTTCACAGAAGTTGTATTATTTTGTCTTTTCTCCAGTGGGGTAGACTCATATAATCTTAATAGCAAGTGTGAAAGAGGAAGCACTATTACTTATTGTGCAATGGAGAATTTTACGTTCCCATTTACAATAATTTCTAAAATCATAATTGACTTTAATAGCTAACATATATCAATGTATTCTGACACAGCACCACATTCCTGACTCAATATATCAATTGTGTGTGTGTATGTATGTGTGTGTGTTTGTGTGTGTGTGTGTGTGTATATATATATATATATATATATATATATATATATATACACACCTACTTGATATTTTATTAATCATATAATAGATATGTTATTTTATTTA